TAACCACGACTCTCTGCCAAGAGGAGCTTCTCTGCCCCAGCCTTTACCAAGTCCCAGATAACATCACAGAGGAGAAGCTAAAGGAATCTGAGAGTCAGAGGATGGGGAAGAGTGTCAGGAAATTCTACTACACAGATGATATTGTTGCAACCATGAACACACAGCAGCTATGGTCACCTGCACAGGTCTAGGTCTCCAACTGTCCACCATGGTGGGAGGAGATGCCATGAGGTCACACCCCTTGCTGGAGAGCTAATGATTCTTAGTGGCTGCTGGAGGAGGGGCTGTCATTTTCTGTACTGGTGTAGCCACTGGGGGACAGGGTGAGCAGTAAAGGGTTTGGAGGAAAAGGAACAGGATACAAGTGTATTGAGGTGAATAAAAAGAATACAGGATGCATCCATCCATCCATCCATACACACATATATCTGTAAAAAATGAAGAGAAAATGGAATTGACTGTCATAAAAGTTGACATCAAATCCTAGTTCTGCTGGCAGGAATACAAGCTTGTGCAGACACTATGGAAATCAGTGTGGAGTTTCCTCAGAAACTGAAAATAGGATTATACAAGACCTTATATAGCACTCGAGGGCAGAAACCTAAAGGATTCTGACTCAACATACCACAGAGAGAGTTTCACTTCCATTCATTTTGCACTATTCCCAACAGCCAGGACATGTACTCAGCCTAGATGCCCATCAACTGACGACCTGATACAGAAAATTCAGTGTATGTTCGCAATGGGGTTTTATACATCTGTAAAGAATAATGGAATTAATATTTTGAGGAAAATGAATCCAATTGTAAATCAGTATGTAAAGTAAAATAAGCCAGACTCAGAAAGGAGCATAAATTAAAAATTATGTGTGCATATATATATGTAAATATGTACCTGTATTTATATGTGTTTGTTTGTAAGTCATGACAACAGAAACAGAGGTGGGAAATTGAGAAGGTAATAGAATGCATTTAGAGGAAAAACAGGAACAGAGACTGGCTGGAGGAAGAAAGGGAACAATCTGGTGGGAAATGGTGTGTCAAAGAGGACAGGGAGATGTGGTGAAAAGTGAGAACAAAGTGTAATGACCCTAATGTAAAGAACCAGGAGGCCACAATGAAACCACTGTCTTTTGTGATAACCTAAAAACTCAAAAGACCCAATAGCACTACAAATGGACTGTGCCCTTGGGTCAGGACACATTGCACAAGTGAAGGATTAAAGCCTGAGAACAAGGCCGCATAGACTTGGGGGTGGTTACTCACAGAGCAGAGCACAAGTGGCTCTGAGAAGTGAAACTCCATCAGGATGCCAGATCCCCATTTAACAGGGTCTCCTGAAAAACAGATGTATTCTGTAGTTTCATCTTTGTGATAATTGCATCTCTTTAAGAACTGGATCGTAAAGTCAATGTAAAGAAGACCAGTGCTAGGTGGGGAATTGATGGTAAGAGGATCATATTGAAAGATCTATCTTGTTCGTGTCAAGTGGCTAGCATCAAAAAAACACACAGTAATTAATGCTGGTGAGGACTTAGAGGAAAAGGCACCCTGTATTCTGCTGCTGGGAATGTAAACTCATGCAGCCACTGTGGAAATCAGTGTGGAAATTCCTCAGAAGACTAAAGCCAGGACTCCTCTATGATGTGGCTCCATCATGCTTAGTCGTCACGCCATGGAGATACTCGCACATCTACAATTGTTGCTGAACTGTTCACAATACTGAACACATGGTGTCAGCCTGTGTGTTCATCAACAGATAAATGGACAGAGAGAATTTATCACATGAGGCTCTATGAAGCTGTAAATGTAAACAGGAATGAAATCGTGTATTTCTTGCCAGGCCTGTTGTTATTGTAGTTCACAGGAGTCACAACTGGGCAAGACTGGTTTACTTTTCTCTTCCTGTAGCATGCGTAGCACCTTCACGTAGTATGAAGGCTAGCCAGTAGAGATGAAGGCTTGAAGGTAAAATGCAGAGTACTGTGGGAACACAGTGAAATATAAGCAGTTTTCTCTTCCCTAGAAGCTTACAATGCAGCTGGAGATAGAGGACAGACAAGAATGACATGACGGCTAGTATGAGGCAAGGGTTGACAGAGGAAAACATGATAAATGATACAGAGTTTAGTAGAAAGGAAGAGGGGGAAGGGATGGATAGATGAATGGAATGTAAGCAGATGGATAAATGGATAGACAGTAGATAGATGGATAGGTCATACATGGAGCAGATAGATAGATAGATAGATAGATAGATGATAGATAGATAGATAGAAAATAGATAGATAGATGATTGATAGATGATGATAGATGATAGATAGATAGATAGATAGGTGATAGATAGATAGGTGATAGATTGATAGATAGATAGATAGAAGATAGATAGATACCACAATGATAGATGATAACAGATATAGATGATATATAGATTAGAATAGATAGATAGATAGATAGATAGATAGAAGATAGATAGATGATAGATGATCGATAGATGATGATAGGTGATAGATAGATAGACAGTTAGATAGATGATAGATAGATAGATAGATAGAAGATAGATGATAGATGATCGATAGATGATGATAGATGACAGTTAGATATTGATAGATTAGATAGATAGATAGATAGATAGATAGATAGATAGATAGATAGATAGATAGATAGATAGATAGATGATAGATAGAGGATAGATAGATGATAGAGGATAGATGATAAATAGATAGACGATAGATAGATAGATGATAGATAGATAGATGACTACATAGATACATAGATAGATACATAGATGAGAGAGATAGATAGATAGATAGATAGATGATAGATAGATGATAGATGGATAGATAGGTGATTGATAGATGATGATAGATGATAGATAGATGATAGATAGATGGATAGATAGGTGATTGATAAATGATGATAGATAGACATGATAAATAGATAGACATCATCAAATTGGTTACTCAAAACATTCCGCAGAAATCAGCTGATGAAGCCTCATTGAGGCAGTCAGCTAGAGTTCCCAAATGAGAGTCCCAGGTTAGAGCAGTATCCTCTTAGGTGAGACTTCAAAGGAAGAGAACAAATAACAGCAGAAAGGCAGCTTCATCGATCATCTGATAGATGATAGATAGATAGATAGATAGATGATAGACAGATAGATAGATGACAGAGAGATAGATAGATAGATAGATAGATAGATCATAGATAGATAGTTAGATAGATAGATAGATAGATCATAGACAGATAGAAGATAGATGATAGATGATCGATAGATGATGATAGATAGATAGATAGATAGATAGATGGTTGGATCAATAGATACATATGATAGATGATAGATAGATAGATAGAGGATAGATAGATAGATAGATAGATAGATAGATAGATAGATAGATAGATAGATAGATAGATAGATAGATAGATAGATAGATAGATAGATAGATAGATAGATAGATAGATAGATAGATAGATAGATAGATAGATAGATAGATAGATAGATAGATAGATAGATAGATAGATAGATAGATAGATAGATAGATAGATAGATAGATAGATAGATAGATAGATAGATAGATAGATAGATAGATAGATAGATAGATAGATAGATAGATAGATAGATAGATAAATGAGAGATGAGTAGATAATAGGTGACATAGATTGATGATGGTTAGGTAGAGAGATGTTAGATACATAGATATAGATAGATGTAGATAGTAGATAGATGATAGATGATTGATGATAGATAGATAGATAGATAGATAATAGATACATTAGATAGATAGATAGATAGATAGATAGATAGATAGATGATAGATGGTTGGATCAATAGATACATATGATAGATGATAGATATATAGATAGAGGATAGATAGATAGATAGAATAGATAGATAGATAGACAGATAGATAGATAGAAGATAGATAGATGATAGATGATCAATAGATGATGATAGGTGATAGATAGACAGACAGATAGATAGATAGAAGATAGATAGATGATAGATGATAGAGAGATGATGATAGATGATAGATAGATCATAGATGATAGGTAGATAGGTGATGGATGGATGGATAGTTGGATCGCATTTTCTTAATTGCTGATTGGTGTAGGAGGACCCAGCCCTTTGTACCATCCCTGGGTAGATAGGCCTGGGAGATTAGATAGATCAGATAGATAGATAAATAGGTGATGATAGATGGATATAGATAGATAGATAGATGATAGATAGATAGATTAGATAGATGATAGACAGACAGACAGATAGATAGGAGAGAGACAGAGAGTACATGAAATTAGGTGGGTGTATTAAAGAGAGGGAACAGATGGAGGAGGGGGACTAAATATGATTAAAATATAATGTATGAATAGAGACAAGTGAAGGAAATTTCCATATCCCCAAAAGTTTCTATATCCTACTGCAAAGATACGTGTTCATCCATGTTCATTGTGACCCTATTCACAATAGCCAGGAAATGGAAACAACCTAGATGTCCATAAACTGATGAATGGTTAATAAAAGTATGGTACAATCACACAATAGAATATTATTCAGCTGTTAAGAAAAACAAAATTATGAAATTTGCAGGTAAATGGATGGAAGTAGAAAAAATTTATCCCAAGTGAGGTACCCTAGACCCAGGAGGACAAAGATTGCAGACCCCTTTTAATTTTTGTTTTAAGATGGACTTTCAAATTTCAGAGCTTAGCCTTGAACTCTATGTAGCCCAGACAGTCCCAGAACGTGCGATCCCTGCCTCATCCTCCCTACTAGCTGGGATTACTGGCCTGAACTGTGATGTTGTAGCTCAGAGCTCCTCTTCCTGTCCGTTTTCTTCTCTCCCCCTTCATCTTCGAGCAGGTTCCTGTTCTCTTCCTACAGTGTCAGTATGACACGATGCCAGGATTTCTACTCTTGTGAATTTATTTATGGATCTGACTTTTCCAGTTCCATGCTTAGATGTGCCATGTTATTGGCAGGTGTGGCTAGCAAGATGGGGGTCCACCTGGAGGAAGATCATGTCCCTCAGACACCCCTGAGTCTCCCTCTGTGGAGTGTAGGGCCAGAGTCTTTCTGGGCTGTGAACACTAGGGCAGGGCGCTCCCTGGTCTCAGCTGGGGCTTCCCTGCCTGGGAGGCAGGAGTCTCTTCTGCCCGTCTTGGTGTCATGAAGAACAGCTGGGCATAGTTCACGTCCTGTGGGGCCTCAGATGCAGCAGCCTGGAGTGAGAGAGGGTGAGAGGAAGGTAGGTAGGTGCTTGGTGTTGGGGCCCTGTTCCCTGGGGCAGGCAGAACTCACCTGACTGTCCTTCACTTTGCCTTTTATTGCCTTTCTGTCTTTCATGTTCAATATTTCCTTTGACATGGTGGAAGGAGAGGTGACCTCTGACCTCCTGAATCTGGAAGGTTTCACCTGGGCGTACATCTCTTTCGTGGGGTCTTCCTCAGGTGGACTCTACAGGAGGGAGAGAGTGAGACAGACGCAGTGTCTCCTGGTTCCTCTGGAGAGCTCCAGCAAGATTTCCTCAGACTGGCCTAAATGACAATTTAGATCTACAATCCATACTGTCCTTCCTCATGGGATCTTCAGGGACTTCCTGAGGACTTGGGGGTACCTGGCGGCCTCCTTCCTGCATTTCTGACATCTTATCCTGGCTCTCACTCCATTGGCTCCATCTTCATGACAAATCACGTCTCTCATCCAGTTTCTTACCCCCACCCCCGGCTGTGCTCTGCCTGCAGGTGCTGGTCCATTAGGTGTCTTTGTGGGTCTCTGCACCTAGACTTGTTCTCAGAACATGCCTGTCCGGGTGCCCTTTGTAATTCACACTGGCCCCCTCTGCCCCACGCTCCACCCACATTGTGTCATTTCCCTCAAACACTTTGCCTGGCTTCACTCTGCGTTTTAGCACGCTGTCCCTCACAGTTCAGGTTGTCCCCAGTGGGTGAGGAGCTCTGCTGCCTGCTATATCGGCAGCCCACCAGGAGATTGATCAAGAGAAAGTCCACGGCCTAGGGAGGTGGTTCAGTCAGTAAAGTCATTGCTGTGCAAGTATGAGGACCAGAGTTTATCCTTGGCACCCACATGAAAAAGAAAATAACTAATCAGTTCTGCTCTTGGTTACCACCAGGACTTGATGGTAAGACTATTGCTGAAGATGCTACATACAAGAACTTAGAACAAAGAAGGAGAAATCACCCTGGTTTTGACATCAGAGCCTCATCTCTACTGGCTAGGGTTCATAATAGTGGAAGGTGCTATGAATATTCTCAGAACGAAAAGAGATCATCAAACTTACCCAGCTGTGAATCCTGTTAACTACAACAACAGGCCTGGCAAATTATGCCCATTGGTGCAATAGCAGCGTGGATATTATAGGAGTAACCAATCACTCCCTAAATGGGTATGAGACCACCTTAACAGGATGAAGCCTATCCCTGACCTTGATAAAAGGCTTAGAAACCTGAGGCTAGACCCATCAGAAGATGTAGAGGAGGGCCTAATATTTTTTTTCTAGTAAATAGTTATCCTAATAAACTGATTTCTAAGGACTTATTGTTATGCCCTTAGATTTTTACACCTTTCAACTCTCATCAGAGACATTTCCTTAGGTAGCAGATGGTGATTAACACAGAAACCACAACTGGTCAATGTTGTCCTCACTAAACAGGAGGCTACAGAACGCTTATTTCTTAATATGACACTTATATCAAATTTCTACCTCCCAGGGCTCGGGGACCATCTCAGAAGAGGAGGTGAGAAAATTGTTATAACCAAAGGTGGTGAATGACTACAAGGAAACAGGGTTTTCTAGACAGATGGTCAGTTACTCATATGAACTAACAGCAATGGTGACAGTATATAGAAATTCCATGCAAGGTCAGTCCACATAAAATTCCCAGCATAGACATGGGGAAGCACATAAAAGAAACCTCAACACAACCTAAGGAAATTTTGGCAACTGATAGCTGTTGTGAAAAGGTCAGAGAGTCTCTTTCAAGGATGAACTCTTGATAGGTTAATCAGGCTCAAGTGGATGGACACACAGTGAATGACATTTGGAGACACAAATTAAGCTATATATACCATAAGTTGGCCAGGGGGCAGTGAGGGGAGGTATGGATAGAGGAGAAGATCTAAATACCATGAAGTTATTTTTGTATGAAAATAACAAAATTTCAAAAAACTTTTTGTCTTTTTGAGACAGGGTCTCCCTATGGCCCCAGCTAGCCTGGACCTATGTAGACCAGGCTGCCCTCGAACTCACAGAGCTCCGCCTGCCTCTGCCTCCAGAGTGCTGGGACTAAAGGCGTGCAGCTCAATAAATATTTTTTAAATGTTGGGCAAGGTGGAAAATGCTTGTGATCTCAACCCTGGGAAAGTGAAGATAGGAGAATCCCTGGGGTGTACTGACCAGTCAGTCCACCTGAACAGGTGCACTCCAGGTTCAGTGACAGACTATGCCTCAACAAGTAAGATAAACAGAAATTGGGGAAGATGCTCAAAGTTGGGCTGCAGCCTCCATATGCAGGTACACACGTGTGCACACACCAAAAAAGGAAAGAAAAAAGAGGAAGAGCCTCGTAAATGGCTGGACAGATGAGGGGGGGTCAAGTACATGGGGTCTCTTTCACTCATGTTTATATTTTTTGGTGCTCAGGATCAAACCCAGTGCCTCACACAGCCTAGGTAGTCACTCTGCAACTGAGCTATAGCCTCAGTCCCTCATGTGTCCTTTTGAGACCTGGAGCATGCTACCAACCACACAGATGCTGAAGAGCCAGAAAGTAGACAGAAAGAAGACACACAGGGCAAGAAGGGTCACAGTCAAGAGGACAGAGTTTGCTCTCTTGAGTACACTGGACCTCCAGCTCTGCAGCACTGTAGATGGAGGAAGAGGTCTCACCTGAGTGTCCAGCTCCATGCTGTCCACCGGCTGTGTGTTCTTCACAGAAGCATCTGCAAGGTCAGTAGAAGAGGATCATCTCCTGTCCAGAGTACCTGGAATTGCTCCATCCCCCAGACCCTTGACCTGTCCCATATGGGAGCAGAGAACCAGGGAGTGTGATGATGACCCTAGATCTATAGTGTTGGGTTCAGTCCCACTGAATGCTCATATCACACCCTACCCTCCATCCCTGTGATCCCTCCCCAGAGCCCTCTCTCACACAGGACTTCTGGATGGCTGTGGCTGGGTTGGAGCTGGGGAGAAAATGGGGTGTCAGTTGACAGTGAGGGGTATCAGGCAGGTGGGATTCTAGGTTGGTGGACATGAGATACCTCTTCTGAGGACCTCTGTCCCTGGGCACTGGCTCTGCAACTCCTGCAGGAAGTTGCAAGTCCAACTCTCTTTGACCTACTTGAGAGGAAGGAGTCTCAGCCAAGAGTTGGGAAGCCCCTCCCCCAGGCACCATCAGGGAAGGAAGGGAACATTACACTCTTACACTCAGCACAAATGTTCCAGGAGATGTAAACGATCACAGAACACCTAACATTTGCTCAGGGACTGAGATCACCTGTTTCTGATCTGAGATTCTGCAGAAGTGTTTCTAAGCTGACATGCCCCAGTCTGGCTGGTTTCCCTGCGGCTTGCGCCCTGAGCTTCTACTTGGATGGCACACAGGGAGCCCACCACCTCCTGGGCCCAGGTCACTCACACTCTACTCACCTGTTTTCCTGTGTCTGTTCTGATGCCTTTGTCTGAGGAGGAGGAGGAGCAGGAGGAGGAGGAGGAGCAGCAGGAGGAAGACCACTGAGACAGCAATTGGAACCTTCTGGTAACTTTTCAGACCTGGAGCACAGGTGACATCATGAATGAAGGATGCTGCTTTCTTCAGCACCTGCTGTGTGTTAGGACAAGCTGGGTCTTTGTCTGATGACCCCGCAGTCATCTAACACATGATGCCCCCCTTCCATGCAGACAGATCTCGTGTCTCAGGCCACAGGGCTGGAAGTGGCAGAGCTGGGGTTGATCTAAGAGAATCTGACCTCCAGCCTTGACCGATCTATCAGAGCTGAGCCCTACAAGCTGGAGTGAAACAGCCTGAATTCCTGCCATGGCCCTGTGCCCTGTCCCTGCACAATGTCAGCATCATCATGACAGGAGTCCAGACTGACTGCAGGTGTGGGTTCTGGTCCCTCTCCCATCTCCTGACAGAGGTAGCAGTCTATACAGAATGGAACCTACCAATCTGGGCAAGGCCTCTTTCCTTTATACCAGGAGGAACTTAGGCCTAAACAGAGGAGACCTTGGTCTAAGCATCTCCAGAAGAGGCTGCACCAACCCTATAACTAACACTGTACCCCCTGGAACCTTCCTACCAACAGAGTCCTTACCTAGTACTCTAGGGGCTTGACTCCATGGGGCTACAGATTTGGTTCTCAGGGTCTAACAGGGTAGGATGGGAAGGCTACCTTACCCTAGCTGCTCCTTCCCCAGGCTGAGTTTGTTTCTCTCTCTCTCTCTCTCTCTCTCTCTCTCTCTCTCTCTCTCTCTCTCTCTCTGCCTGGATGTCCCCTTCTGGGGCCCAAGCTTTAAGTCTCTTATCACCTGGGAAGCCTGCTACATTCCTAGCTTGACTTCTAGGTTGTGGACACAAGCTGACTGACATAGGGAACAGGATTTAGTTGGACCGAGAGTGACAAGCTTGGGCAGAGCAGACTCCCTAGGTAGAGGACACTACCCTGCACCAGCTGCTGGGGTGGGCCCTGAGGGTAGAGGACTGGGGACCCCAGAGGATCTCAGGAAAGAGGCAAAAGAAAAGTGAGATGTGGGAGGCTCTATTTCGTCTCACTAATGTATTTCTGCCACGCAGCCTCCCCAGGACTCGCCTGTTGCTGACCTGGAACCTTCTAGATTCCAGTGAAGAAGTTGGACTGTGAAGTACTTGAAGACCCACTGTTAGCCTCTGTGCATTTCTGAGTGGTGAATCCTCACGAGACTGACCGCCCCTAGGATCCATTAACTCCCATCTCAACCAAGATCCCTCCTAGGTGGAGGATCCTGAGTCACCTCCTTCAGCTCACAGATGTCGGGTCACTTCACCTGAGACTACAAGCTCCACAGGGTCACTGGGGTGTGACAACAGGTAGGGGGATGAGCTTCGAGCACCACAGCACCTGTAGGTGCCCCCAAGGTCCGAGGTCACAGCACTCATAGAGAATTCGGCCTTATACTGTTGATCTTGGAACTTTGATCTTTGATACAGCTGGGGATGGACAGCCCCCTCCTTCAACAGAAGAAAAGAGTCCATCTGGCTTCGTGACTGACACAGCAGGGTTACGTTCTCTCCTGAGGACACTGTGGGGCCTGGACGCACAGAGAGGGAGGGTGTAACAGAAGGCTGTCCTGGAGAGAAAGAAGTTTGGGAGAAAGGATTCCCATTTGCTCTGAGCCCCTGTCGGTTTTCTCTGACTGCCCTTCCCCCACTCTCCTGTCTCCCAGCCTGTTACTCTCTCTGAGATACCAAACATCATCATGAACATCGACTCCCTGGGTTCCCACAGCATGGACTGTACAGAATCTGGATTCCTGAGTTGACCAACTGAATTCCTCACCTGTGATTAGTATGTCCAGATGGTCACTGGGGGCAGAAAATTCAGAGACGTTTTGGGCACCATAGCACCTATAGCGGCCCCCAGTGAAGAGGCTCACAGGACCCAGGGTGAAATGGGCCTGGTAGGGCCCACTCTGGAACTGATGGCTAGAGACACGTGTGAGATCATTTTCCCCCTCTTTGGACAGAGCAAATGTATCATAGCTGATGTTAGAGTGACACAGAAGGGTTAAGTTCTCTCCAGGACTCAGGACGAGGCCTTGCTGGGTCAGCAGGGAGGGCTTCCTGGATAGTCCTGGAAGGAAGGTGGGTTGGAGGTTAAGAAGCTGGTTCCTGACATAGTTGCTCCCTCATTCTCTATTAAAATTGTCACCACCTCTCCCCATGGAGCTCTGGCTCAGGACTAAAATGTTCTCCTCGGCTGCCCACCCCGCAACTTGGAACTCTCCTGGGAGCAGAGCTCATGATAAAGCATTTCAGGTATCCAAAAATGACTGCGTAGATGATGAGACTTCCTCACCTGAGACATGTATTTCCAGGGGGTCACTGGACTCTGACCACACCTGCGGGGTACCTTTGTAATATCCATAACATCTGAAGATTTCTCTCTTTCCAGGTGTCTCAAGGACCACAGGGAACAGGGCCTGTGATTGTCCAGAGTTGGTATACTGAACTTCCAGGGAGCTAGAGAAGATCTGATCTTCCCTAATCAGAATGAATCCATAATATCTCTGCTGTGAGACACACTGGAGGGTCAAGTTCCCTCCTGAGGTCACTACAGGGCTTGGCAGGGCTGACAGGCTGGGTTTCCTGTGGTAGATGCCTAGGAGAGGAGAGGACATCCTGCTAAATGAGATCACACTGCCCACATAGCCCCCCAGGGCAGGGTTGTGAGAAGAGGACACCACGGAGGGAGGACCTTTGTCCCAAGGACACAGGCTGGGCCTGGGAACACTGAGTGGTCTCTCACCTGTCACCACCAGCTCCAGGGTGTCACTTCGTTCTGACCAGCCAGCAGGGCTGTAAGAGTAACAGTGATACTTCCCTGCATGTCCCTGGGTCATGGACGAGATGGAGAACTTAGCCTTGTTCCCAGGCTTCAGTGCGTTTTGTATGTTCCAGGGTGCTGAGCTTTCCTCTTTATGCAGAACGTATATTTGGGTCTTCAGGGTCCCCTGACACCAGATGGTCACAGGACTCCCATAAGTAATCAAAGAGCCTTGCTCAGCCATGATGGTGGGTTTCTGGAGGATTCCTGCAAGAAAGGAATGAGAAGGAGGTGGTTCTGCTTGAACATGCAACAGCAAAAGTCACAAGTGTAGCTGACGTGTGATTTGTAGAACCAGTGGAGCCGTGTGAAAACCTTTCTCTTTCCCGAATCTCACTATGTCACAGCTTTAGTTTCTCTCTCTTCACTCCCACACTGCATGCTGTGCTTCCCTGGGCTCAGGACACTTGGCTGCCCTCACCCAACACATATCAGGCCTCCTCTGTGAACGTGTGTCAGGTATAAGATCATTGAATCAACAGTCTGGGTCCACCTGACCTGAGATAAGGAGCTCCAGGATGTCACTGGATTCTGACCACACCTGGGGCTTGCTGCTGTAATAGCCATAGCATCTGAGCCTCCACCTCATGCTGGAGGTCACAGGGATCACAGGGAACAGAGCCTGTAACCCTCTAGGGTAAATATACTGAACTGCGAGGGAGCTGGAGAACTTCTGATCATCTTTAGTCAGAATCAGCCCATCATATCTCTGCTGTGAGACACACTGGAGGGTCACATTCCCTCCTGAGGTTATCACGGGGCTGGACACAGCTGACAGGCTGGGTTTGCTGTGGTAGATGCCTAGGAGACGAGGAGAAAACATGTTAACTGAGATCACACAATCCACATTGACCCCATGTCTGGGCTGGGAGATGACTCCTTGGAGAGAAGACATTTATCCTGGGTACAGAAGCGTGACACCCATGAGAACACTCTACCTGTCACCACCAGCTCCAGAGCGTCACTGCGTTTGGTCCAGCCATAAGTGCTGTAAGAATAACAGTAATATTTCCCAGCATTCTGAGTTGTCGTGGATAGGATGTTGAACTCAGCATTATTGTTGAGAAGCTTTGGGGCCTGTCTGTCCCAGGGTGCTGAGCTTCCTTCTTTATGCAGAACATACAGCTGGGTCTCCATGGTTCCTCCACACCAGATAGTCACAGGATTCCCCGAGGTAACCACAGGTCCTGGCTGAGCCAAGATAGTGGGCTTCTGGAGGATCCCTACAAAGAAGATTAAGCAAGAGGTAAGTTTGCGTGGAAATGTCACGGAAGCTCACCTTGAAATAGCAATGAAGACCTGCTTTTTTATGGAATTCCAGGTATTTCTCTCACTGTCCAGCTTGCATTCTGTATCTCGGGTAAATTTGTCTCTCATGCCCTAACACATGGAGATTAAGAGCTTTGACTTTCCCCACCCATAACACACCACTCCATCCCCTTTTGACCTATGTCAGGTCCAGCATCATTTAAGGGGAAGAATAAGATTTACCTGACACCAGGAGTTCCAGGTTGTCACTGGGTTCTGACCATATGTGAGGGTTGATCAAGCCATAGCATTTGAATATCCACCTCTGCTTGTGGGTCACTGGACCCACAGAAAACTGAGTCTGGACTTGCCCAGTGTATATATTTTGTGAGACCGGAGAGATGGAGAAATTTTTATTTTCCTTCATTAGGAGGAAGCTCTGATATCCATGATCTGACACGCACTGGAGGGTCACATTCCCTCCTGAGGTCACCACATGGGTAGGCAGGGCTGCCAAGCTGGGTTTGCGATAGTATCCTAGGATAGGAAGGAGGACTGTAGAAGGGATTCATGTCTCCCACATTCTCCCCAAGGGCTGGGCTGTGAGAAGACATTACCTAGAGAGTGCAGTCTTCCCTGGGGGCAGAGCCTGGAGCTGGTCACTCAGTGTCCTCTTACCTGTCACCACCATCTCCAGTGTGTCACTGGCCTCTGACACACCAGCAGGAGTCTGATAGTAACAGCGATATCCTCCTGCATGGTGCCATTCAAAGGATGGGATGATGAACTTCACTTTGTTCTCAGCTTCCAATGTAATCTTTCTGAGCCAAGGATCTGGACTTCCCTCTTTATACAGATAGTACTCCTGAACACCTGGGGGCCCTTCACATGAGATGTTCACCAGGGTGTGGGCAGTGAACACAGACTTTGTTTCAACTGTGATTTTAGGCTTGGGTGGGATTCCTGCAAGGAAATCACTGTCTGGGCCTCAGGACAGCCCCCCCCACATCTCAGCTCTGACTCCAGGACCTGTCAGCCATCACAGCATCTGTCATCACCTGATGTTATCCATCTCCACCCACTAGGGGAGACTCGTTTTCCCACGGAGGATGCATAAGAAGGGAAAGATGGGAACACACTCACCTGCCAGCACTGGGTTCCTGGGGACAAGGGTCAGTCCTGGAAGAGAGTACCCTGTGAGGGTTTGTCCTTGAACCATAAGTATGTCCTCCCCTACAAGGTGCCTTCTGAGCTCCTGAAATGTCCTGTTGGGCCAACGCCTGGTTGCGGTGGTTTCCTCCAAGACTAGAATTCCTCTTCTCCAGTTTTATTTCTCACCAAGGCAGAGCAGGGCTGTGAGGGTGGAGGTCATGGCGTCCTCTTCCAGGGCAACTGTCGTGAAGAACGTTGGTCCCTTTGCCAAATGTCAGAAGCACTGAGCATGGCTGTTGGTGGCTGTTTCTCCTTCCGGTGACAAGGGTGTGGCTTCAGTAGAAATGCAGGAAGGGGAACTGCTCTCTTCAGGCTGTTTTCCCCCATCGTGCTGTGGCTTGTCTGTGGCACCAGAATCTGAAGTTTCTGCTGCTCTTTGTTTTGTGTTTCTAAAATAGTCCTTCATGCAGCCCAGGCGGTATCAAACTCCTGATCCTCCCCCCTCATTCTCCCGTGTGCTGGGATTACAGGCCCATTTCCACCTCTGGTCTCATCTTAGAAATGGCATCGGCCTACAGCCCAGCCACATCTGACTGAACAGTTTTCATGTCACCGAGGACCAAGATTCAGCAACAAAGAGACCTGGTCTCTTCCAGAGACAAAGCCTTTCAGGTGATGGTTAATCGAGGCTTGAATTTCTATCCCAGAGCCTCTTTACTGGGTCTCCTTCACTCCTTCAACCAGAACTTCTTTGCAGTGTTCTGGGGTTCCTACCATGGCCAGTCAGCTGGCGATGCTATAGGGATATTCTGTGAGCTTTGCAAAGTGTGACAGGAACAGATGTGTACTTAACCATACAAGGGGCAGTAAGTGGGAAAAAAAATAATGAAACAATCTCCCTAATGACTTATATCCATACCTCTTTGGCTAATCAAGTCAATGCTATTCCACCAATGTGCAGGTCTTGCCTACTGCTGACTTCTCAGTCAAGATCTAGCATGCTGTCGCCTGTACTATGGGGTTTTCTGTATGAAATAATATATTTTTTAATGAAATGGAAATCTCTTTTAAAGGTTAAAACCTCATTCAATTTTATGTCTTACAGGGTTTATACTGAGTTGAATACTGTATAACCATATTAATTAAACTGTGAACCTAAAATTTACAGACACTGTTGAAAGAGATGTGTCCGTGCTCTGGAAAGTGTTACTGAATATGCTACAGCTGTAATGAAATGCTTCTTCTAATCATGTGGTTATAAAATTTTTTTTAAAAGTTTTGAAAATGAAAGAATTTTACCTTATTATTCCTTAGTGAATCAATGAGTTTAGTTAATATTATTTATGTACCCAACTTCTTGGCAGTTACACCACTGCAGAAAATATTTTCCGTAAACAACATTTAACTTCCTTCTATCATCAGGGAAAATGCACCCTTAGGAGCCTCTCACTCGTAACAGAACTTGCTAGTTACACCAATCCTGTGCACCTCCACTGTGCATAATCACAGGTGTGGAGAGTTCAGGACAACACAGGCCTTGGCACGCCCAGAAAACATGTCCCTCAGGGGAAAGATGGAGGTTGATGCTGCAGGCAGGACGCAGGGCAGAGGAGACACACTGAGCTCCTGACTGTGCAGCTCAGTGGAGCTTCTGTCCTGGTGCGGAGCCCAGAGGAGACATGGAGAGAGACAAGGACACATTCTCTCATGGCTCTGGGGTTTGTGTTCGCTAACTGAAGTGAGCCCTGTCGGGACCACACATACCATACCAACATAAACCAGCCCCATGCCTCCTTAGAAAGGACCTTCTCAGACATTCCTGCGCCTCAGTTCCACTCTCTCCTTGGTCAGAATTCTCATGCCTGGAAGGTATGGATTTCCACTTAATGCCTCCTCATGCGCCACCGCCTGTGCCAGCCTGAGCATTAGATTCTTCTCTCAGACCCTGCACATCCTCCTGGCTAGCTCATTTCAAGTCAGTCTTCAGCTTTGTTTCGGGTTCAGGGTGTTGGTAACAGAAACTAGTCAGAATTGTTCATTTTATCAGACTAGGTACAACATGGGGTTGGAATAGGAGAGTGTATTGTGTTGGCGGATCTGGAGCTGAGTGTAGGGGCTTCTCTGCTCTAATCATGTTGAGACAGTCCGTGTAGTATGACTAAACTGTGACTGCCGTCACCATTGTGAGCAGAAAAACACAGGAAAGGGAAAGTTTCCCAGAAGCATTTACTCCATGTCCATGAACAGAGACTAAACCTTAGGGCCACTGGATTGACAGCCACCAGAGGTTACGGAAGGTATCTTCCTCCTGGTGGGGAGAAGGAGGTCAGGACTCCATGTCAGGGAGGGAAGCTGTCACCCTTCCCCTCTTCCTGGTGGGGAGAAGGGAGGTCAGGACTCCAGGTCAGGGAGGGAAGCTGTCACCCTTGCCCTTCTCCTGGTCGGGAGAAGGGAGGTCAGGACTCCAGGTCATGGAGGAGGCTGTCACACTGGCCCCAGTTTTCAGTTGGACATCAGGATCGCTCACCTCGCCCTCTGCTACCCACTGTGAGCACTGAGACACCTGTCTGTAGGTAGAGCTTATTCTCTCCTCTGAACACCCAGAAGCACCTGGCTCTGTGTGTCAGTTTCCGTTTGAGGGTCACACTGGACACACACTGCCCAGGAATGGCCATGAGAAAGTGATGTTTTACTACTCATTCTGCTTTTCGTTGTAGATGGATGGAGAAAGGAGATTCTGGTGTTTTCTGTAGCCTACCCCTATGTCTCTGGATTTCTGTATCCATGGATGTGTGACGGTGTATGTTTACAGTGAAAGAATTCTTCATGTTTCCTCAGGATTTGCCTGGGCAGGCACTTGTGCTGAGATAGGAGGCTTTCTGTAGACTTAGATGATAAACTAGTGTGCAAGTTGGAGTCTCCCTGTCTCACCCACTTCCTAGGCCGGAAGGAGCTGAGATTCTCAAGCCCATAGCACTCCCACCTTGTCCATGTCTCCATCTGCTCTCTCAGGCTTTCTGTCTCCCTCAGTCCTATCTCAAGTGGTATCAGACTCCATCTGCCTGTGCTTGTCCAGGGCAGGAGTCTCTGGCACACATGCACCACAGACCTTCTTGCCATTTTCTATCAGTGAGGAGAGGGAACATCACAGGCTGGCCTTCATCTCACTTGAGCTGGGCTTCAGGGGAAGTCGCATATAAGTTGCTCAACCAGTTTAAAGTTCTTGTCAACCATGCCATGGAGAAGGTGAGAGTGAAACCCAGCCAGACAGAAGAACGCTCAGATATACTTGGGATGTATGTATGATAACACATGCCATGAGACCAGTATCATCCTAACATCAGCATCATTCTAAAACAATACCCAAAGTCATATGTAGAACAAAGTATGAGCCAATAGCTGTCATAAATGTAGATAAAAATGATTTAACCCTCATTTTTTTGCAACATATAATGAATTTCTAGTCAACAACAGACCACACATATACTCATGGTACTACAAGATCACACCACCTTTGTAACTGCGTCCATGGATTTTGTATAAATACAGCCTATGATATTTGAACAACAAAGAAATTGCTTTAATGTGCACTTGTAAGAATATATCGTATTATTATTCATGCAGATTTAAACCACTGATGTGTAAAAGGATTTATACAGCATAGCCAAGTAGTATTTACCTGGTAAATCAACCTGCTTCAATATTTTGAAAACCAATTCATATCATATATCAAAGCCAAGAGGTAAAATAAAAACAGGCATGATGGAGGGATACATGTACATGTAGGGACAGCACTTCTCATTGTCCCACACCCACTCATGATGAATATTCACAATAAAATGTGATGTCAGAACTTTGTATATATCCGGATAAGATCTATACAAGTAAGACTGAAATACACATCATATGTAATAATGAGTGACCAGAAGTTTCCTAATAAGTAAAGATGAAAGGTGAAATGTTCATGCATTTTAATCATTTTTCTTGAAGTTCTAGGTGAAGTAGTAAAGTCAGATAACTTAAGGAAGAGCTTACATACAGGAAAGAAAGAACTGTGGTTATTATTTGCAGATGACTTGACTGTCTATGACGGCTCTGTGAATTGTGTTACAAAGATACCTTCACAAAACTGAAAAGTAGCTGTGGTGGTTTGAATGAAAGTGTTCCCCTTAGGCTCCAAGTATTTGGACATTTTGGCCCCAGGTTTGGTGCAGTTTCGGGATGTATTAGGAGGTGTGGCCTGGTTGGAGGAAGTGAATCACTCAGACAGGCTTTCAGAGTTCCAAAACCGTGCTAAATTTCCAGTCACTCTCTGCTCTCTGTACCTGTTCAAGATGTAAGCCTCCATTTTAAACTCCATCACTCTGGGCACCAGGCCTCCCCAGCATGACCGACTCTATTTCCTCTGGAACTGTAAGCTCAAATAAACTCTTTCTTCTCTAAGTTCCTTTGGACAGTGATTTTATCACAACAAAACAGAAGTAACTAATCAGTCACTATAATTTTTCTGCAAGTTTGAAAAATGAACATGTCAGTTCGTCTTGTATGTGCCCACAAAGGACCATGGGCACTATAATTAAAGATGGATCAGCTATGTATCACTTCCAAACTCCACACAAGTGACATGACATTGGAATTATGAAGACGACCATAAAGGTTTATATACAGTAAGCAGGAAATCTCACAAATCAGGTCTTGTTTTAAGAAAATGATACATTCAAAGCCATGTCTGCCAGATAGTCTCTTGAAACAGCAGCGTATTGACACCAAGTGTTTATGCTTCATAAAAGCCACCCAAGGAGCATGCGTGGAAGACTGAAAGTTGGAGAGTTTCAGAGTTCGAGTTATTTATTCTCAGTTAAGTTATGTCTGAAATATGATATTTGCTCATCATTTTTGTTATTTGAGATAACTTTCTTTTTCATTATTTAAAAAACAAAAGGCCCATAATGCAAACGGGGAACGTGGTAGTTTACAGTGATGGAAATTAGCTCATGGAATGAGGGAAAACTGAGGATACACAGAGGTGAGGGCCCAAGCTCACTGCTGGGAAAGGATGTTCCCCCATCTATAGAGATAAGAGGACCAGTCAGCTGAAATCCACACCAGAGTAGATGAGTAAAAACATTAATTTGGTACTGAAAACATCTCTGTCTCACCTCAGATCTTTCCCTGCATGCAAAACACACGTGCTCCCTGGACATTCACTCACAACAGGACAATAGGCTCCCAACATAACCATGGTATTTTCTGACACAAACACC